AATGTTATGGCCTTACTGCCATTGACATTATGCATGTAGAAAATTGCTGTGGGACGAGCAATGCGCATTAACTTATCAACATACTAGTACTAAGTATTTTATGACAAAATATGAAAACATCAGAAATATGAAAACAGTATTAACATCATTCGTAATATCTCGCTATTTACATATAACCACCTCGTTACCTTGTTGTAACTAGATAGCTAGAGGTTATTAGTTACATGTACACATATGGACAAAAACTAAAATGTATTTCGTTATAAAGTATTTTTTATTGAAAGGTTGTGCGACATTTAGAAACAATTTTGAAATACCAATGCTCTAGAATAACAATCTAAAATAATCTAAAATACCATCATTAGTTTAGATATATTTTATTTTTCAGAATATATATACATGTTACAATTAACAATATACAGAGAGCAATTCAAATAATCTTAAAAAACAGGATTCGAATGAAAGACAACGTGTCTTATGAAATTCTTCTCATAAGTGTTTTAAATCCATCATTAGCTATGCCATTCTTACTATCGGCTGTTAAAATCATAATAACTAACAAATGAAGAAGGTTTATTTAGCTGTCATATATTTGAATGTAATTGTTGGCATTTACAAAATGTGTAAACAATATCAAACAAATAAATATGCATGTTTTCAGTTTAAATTATTGTTATTAAAGTGAAACCGATTAACCATATCCAACTATTGTGTTCGGTGTTTTTTATTTGCTGAAGTATGACGAAAAAGGCCGAACAGATTCGATTGGTGAAAACAAGGACAATGGACATGCTACTAAGCATTTTGTGCTATTCAAGCTTAATCAAATGTAATATTTTATTCAAAATGTTACCTTTAAATAACAAATAATGATGTTTCAAAAAGCAGTTGAAATGAAATGTCAAAAACCTCCATATATTTTAGAGTTATGAGCTTTTTTTTATAAAACCAACAACTAATTAAAGAACACACCTAATAGTAAATGTATGGGAAACCATTATTTTCTTGTATGCGATCGACGTTTTCTGTTATTTACGATTTCTGTCGTATATATGCGTATACCTAATTAAAACGTCAAAAATGTCATACATAGATTTCTTCCAAAAGCATTCAGGGATTTAAATTATTTACAGATTGTTTTTCAAGAATGAATACATTCCCTAAAAAGGGAACAGAAACAATCTGCAATTCAATAAATGAAAACATTTGTTACAACACCTGCGTACAGTGAAAATAATATATAATCACCAGCTAAAACGTATGTGTTTGTGATATTTATGGGAAATGAAAGGATGGAAGTGACTTAATCAGACAGTGTTTGATGTCTGCCGCTCTTTACCGTTATAATCATCAATAATCACAATGACTGGTCGATAATATCATTACATAATTATGTTGTTCAGAGGTTTGCATGGTTGAAACATTTATTGAATAAATTTGACTTCTTTATAAACGGGCCATCATGAATTTTATGACATTTAAATAATGGTTCTAGAACATGTAAGATGCTTGTTACCTGACGAAAGAAGCACTAATTAAATGTGAGAAATGTGTCATAAAAAGTAACAAAAGTTTTTGACTTCCATACAAAATACCAAATCACTATAAATGTATTAGTTGCAAAAAAGCAACAGAAAAACATGTTTAGGTAGTTGACCAATGATTACGTTTTTGAAAATATAAGAGTAAACCAAAAAATAGAAATAGAAATAAAACATTTCTGGGGTATAAAAGGCCCTTTAAATGTAAATTATAGCATAAAATCGACTATTTTTTCCCTCTTTTGTCCATGTTATAACGAGACCAAAACCATGTCACGCGCTCTTGTTATAGCCCGGTTTTACCTTTGCGCAATAAATACAGGGCAATTTTGACAATTTTGCCTGTTTGTCAAGGAGTCATGCGCTCTTGTTATAATTGAAATTATTGATTGGAGGGCCTCAATCGCATAACGGCGAGCAGCATTCAAGTAACTATGCCGGAAATACGGCATATAGACATCGCCGCTAATCTTGGTTGTCGCCCTTAACCGGTTTAAACTCCCCAGCAGTCATTATTATGCTGCTGACCGTTCCAAGGCGGCGCCCCTCTGTGTTCCTCAGATGTATGTCTATGTTGTTTCATACTGTTTTGTTGACACTTTTGCGTGTGTCCCTTGTTGTTTTCTTGTCTACAGTAAGTATCTTCCTCCTTTACCCCTAGTTTTTATTTCTTTGATCACCCCCCCCCTTCCCCCGGTTTCCTGTCCCCTTACCCTGTGCCCTTTGACTTTGTGGGCCTATTATTCAATCATTTATTTGTTTTCTTTGAATTCCTAATCAGTTACTTTTTATTTATCATTTAGTGATTAACCTGTCCGTGCTCTGTATTGTGTCCTGTCCTGTTTTTGTTTGGGTTCCGCCTGGGCTCCTTGCCACTGGTTCTTGTTGCTGGGTCGTATGGGGGTTGCGTTCATTGAACGCCGCCTTAACTTGTTGATCTTGTTTATCATACTTTCTAAGAAACGGACAGTTGTCAATGTAAACAAATACTTGTCTCCGATTAACTTACAAAAAATGAATATGAGAAAATGTTGTATTATTGAAGTTTATATTGATAAATGCTCTTTATGTTTCTCTTTGAGAGAATAATGTTTAGTTCCTGATTTTTTTTATAAACTACGGTACTGCAGTGTGCTTGAAACAAAACGATTCTTGTCACTGATCTTTTTTTCTACCGTCAATCTGAAATCATTCTAGGAATTTCTGAGGGTCATGTTTTGTCTATGGTATAGTAATTTAATGTGTTTTTCTTGAGTTATTAAATCTCCAATGTTAAGCTTTGTAAAATCAATTAGCCTAAAATTCGAAATTTCGTAAGGTTCTGAACGCTTGTATTTCCAAAGTTGTTGGCCCTGGAAAAATAAAACGCATAAATAAAACATGTAGAATTGGATAAATACCGTCCTACCTCAAGGATTTAATGTATGCGTTTTGTATTAAATATACATCATGAATCTGTTTTAAAATTTTATGCTATAATAGTGTCAACGCACGTTTATTTCGTGTTATAAAGCCTGCAGAGTCCCTCGGAAAGCCCTCGCCCTACCGGGCTCGGGCACCAACCGTTCCTCGGGACTCTGCAGACGTTTTAACACAATTGTTTAAATTAATTATTTTATATGGACAGCAACAAAGTTTTATTCACTTTAACAACTAAAAGCGTTAGATAATTATAGACTATATCATACATTTTGTTCCAGTTTTGGCAAACCTCGCGAAGTAAAATATTTATAACATGAAAGCATAATTAGGACTTTTCACATATTCCTGATAATTCTGTGATATTTAGGTATTAAAGTAGCAGGTTAGAAAATTTCATAACCATTTTAAATTAGACGATACCTGTATTTACATTTTCAGCATATATTACATAGTCATCAATTCTCTAATGCGCTAGCAATGTGATATTTATTAAAACTACAAGTTAAAGGAAAATACTGGCTAAGATGTTTCAAGAATGTCACTCTGTAATTAGTGAATCTAGGTGCAAATATCAAAGCTAATAATCCATAGAAATACCGTCAGAAAAGGAAACCACCAGCAACAACTGTAGAGATTATTTCCTTTTACATCTCCCAATGTTAATGGTGTACATGTACTTAGTAACACATGCTGATGTCATTTGGAGAGAGTGTGAACATAGATTCTTAAAATCCTATCAGTTTTCTATAAAATATTTTAGGATTATAAATTATTAAGTATGTTAAGGCTCTTTCTATTTGAAAGACCCTGGTCTGTTTTAATCATTAACCGATATACTGGTACAATACAATACAAAACAATGCAATACAATACAATACGATACATTACAATACAATGCAATCCACATTGGCAGTGTTGAGAATGATTGCTGGCGCCATCCATTGTTTGCGTATCAAACTGAAGTTAATGAATTGAAATTATTAGAACCAGTCAACAAATATTGTTACGCACATGCTCCGCTTTAAAATACGACTTCACTTAAACGAAAAATAAACATGGATAAAAGAAAAAATCTGAAAATATTGTTTACGCTTTAATTATTTAACACTACGATTAAGGGTTAATTCCGTTTTTGTTCTTTAAAACTGTATGCATTGATTATTGTTTTCTGAAAAGTGTTTTACTATTTCATGTAACAGTAAACACAATATCGCCAAACATTATTATATGACCGAGAAAACCGTGTTATTATGCTGCTTAATTAACTTCGGAACACCTCGCCGATCATTCCTAATTAGAATTTATCCGGAGGCTGACGGAAATAGCCGATACAAATCTTCATCGGCTGCAAAAAAAAATGTTATAATTATGATTATTGTCTAGTTTTCATGAAAGGACAACTACGGATAAAATGGACTGGTACCCAAGGGATTTGAAATGTTTGATTACAATCTAGCTAAGGCTGCATTAAGCTTATTCTATAAATGTCTATTATTGATTTTACCTTTACAAACCTAAATATGAACGTGACTTGTAGAATGTTTTATTAATCTCTTGTAGAAATTATATATAAAAAAACAGTTCGTTATTATAAAAAAAAATAAAGTAGTCAGGTATTGAGAATGACTAATAATCCGTCTTCTAACCTGTCTCTATGGTTACAGGTTATACGTCTCTACGGAAACACGTGATCTGTTTAACAATACTGGAAAATCATAATTGCTAATCAAACGTTATTGATTGGTAAGGTATATCGATGTATAGAAAACAATATAACAAAATTGTAGCTTCAAAATTACATACAATTTGAATTACTGGAAACATGGAAAATTGTAAGATAATAAATTCAAAATCTAAATGTTTCTTTATGTGTTGGATTTATTGAAAGAAAAGAAAAAACAACAACAACAAACAATCCAAAAATATAAATTAATAAATAAATAATTTAATAAATAAATAAGACTGTAAACATCCATAATTAGGTAGTTAAATAAAAGTTGGCCACAGATGGGAATAATTTAGTAAAACAATGACATGTTAAATTTCATAAAATTTTAATTATCAAGATATATATTTAGTTATAATTTTCATAATTGGTTTATAAATATGAATCTTTCACAGAAAAAAATCATTTTTTTATATCAAATCAGTTTTCTTTCTTCAGTTCTTATAGAATATGAACCAGAATTTTGAGTTACAAAATGACTGCTCTTTGTATTTATTCCAGCAAAATGCCTGTAATTGCATACATGATTGCATTATCATAATGAGAGCAAAATATATAATAAATATAATAATTAAGGAAAGGCACGTTTTTAATTGCAGTATAATAGGCACATTCCAAATATCACATGCTTACTAAAATGTCAAAACTCTGGTTAATTTGAGATATATTATTGGAAGTATGATCGAGTTTGTGTACCCTATCCAAGATACAAGCAACCACATGTAGGTTGGTACCCTGTAAGAGGTAAGAGGATCTATAAAAGTAATCAAGTAGAAAGGGAACCAGCATAAAATGCATGAATATGATAATAAAATAACGATGCGCGCCAATTTTGTTCCAAAATGTCTCCTGTTAAAACTGCGTTTTTTCGTGTTGATTTGAACAAGTTTATAAAACATTTGTTCCCGTTTTTCAACAGATGACTTTGTACATGCATTGCAAAGCAAAATGAACGCTGTCGGCACAATATAACATATACCTGTAGTTGCAATAGCGTATGGCTTATTTGAAATAAATTGGCACATCTTTGTTCGTTGAAATAAACATTCCATTTGTTGTTCAATCCCTTTAATATGAATTTTCGGAGGAATAAAACAAAAATACAAAATAGCTGGAATTATCCAACAACCGACAAATAGTATCGTATTGAACTTCCGGTTTAACCAGTAACTTCGTCTGAATGGCCGGCAAACAGAGATATATTCATCGAAAGCCAACGCGGAAAGATGAAATATAGAGCTCGTGCGGAGCATGCCATCAAAACTGTTGCCGAGATCACAGAGTAAAACTATTAATTGACCAGGTATTTTCAGCTCCACTGTTATCATTCCAAACAACTTGACCGGAAGTACAAACACTCCGGAGAATGTGTTACAGATCATCAACGAACATAGAAACAACCGAGTGTTAGCTTTTAATTTAGGTGCACGTATAGTGTACGCTAACGTTATAATATTTATAGTTACATCAAGCACCGGAACGAATAATAAACAATATCCAATCACTTGCCCTGCTAAAATACTATAACCCCAAGTTGGCGTCGAACATTCTACCTGGTTTGATGAACCATTATCACTTAAAAATGTAAAGCTCATCACCATCAAGAAATAGTTTCAATAATATTTGTTATGAAATAGTTAGTCCAACATTTCCAACGAAATAAAATCTATCACATCACAAATTATATTTTTTCCTCTCTTTGTTTGAGAATACATGGCTAAATATAACGTCAGACTAATTGTCAGATAGTTTACTTGTCAACTGGCTTTAAATTCAATTACTCTATGTATTCATCGGAAAACAACTGCTGAGATCACATGATCCAATATTAGATATACCCAGCAGTCCGCACGATGTATTTTTATACAGCATAATTAATTACCACTGGTTAAATGGCATTCTATCAATTATATTGAGCAAACTTTTTTAGTTTTTAGTCTTGTATTTAGTCTACCTTGTTTTTGAATATTTAATCACTAATAGATTTAGCATTAAGCCCATTTGCTATCTTATTTATATGAAATCAATGCTCCATATATAAACGATGGAAATAAATTTCGCATCAAACGAGTTATTGCAATCTTGCTGGGATACGTGGTGTGTGCAGCATTTAAACAAGATTTGAGATTTATCATGTATAGCCTGCAAAACTAAAATACTAAAACTGTTCAAATACCGATATGCTTACATAGGAATTAGACAATCGTAAAAGCTAAATAGCTAAATAATTATCAGTTATTGTTTTAGCTATAGAGCCATGTGATTTGCTACGTCAAGGAAGGAATAGGCTGTGATCGTGACAGAACGGCATGAATTAGTCTATTTTTGGAAATAAATTTAATCTCAAATGCATGAAGCTTTAATATCTCCATTTTCTATAAGACCATTGCAAATCAGATTACTATTTCATCGTGTATATCAAGTAACGCAGGAATGTGAAATAAACGCGGGTATTGTAGAAAAGTACATAACGCCAAAAAGTGTAACACAGTAAGTAAACGGAACAAAATATTTTATCGTTAATCAAATTAAAAGAAATGAATAAATTCATACGGCTGCTAAGACATCATTCTTAAACAAGCATTACAAGTATCCCGAGAAATAAGTTTACTTTTTCAGCGACCTTCACGTCACTACCGTTTTAAAGGCGACATTTGAGTTTCGTCAGTAACGATAAGTTTTTGTATATTTTTAGACATTTGCCAAAATACGAGTGCCCAATTTCCAACGCAGTGATCTCCCCTTACAGGATAAGATCTCTGCCATCACAACATTTTCGTCAAGATTTTTGACGATATGAATTTTTTCAATTTTTATATTTATTTTAAAAAGTAAACACGGTTTTGCTAATGTTTCAAGACCGTTAGGTGTTAGATGTGAACTAAAATAAAAAACAATTTTGGAAACATAAATATTATGAAAATAATTTTTAAAAATCTTAACACCGCACCGTTTATTTCCAAAACAATGGCCCCCCTCGAAAGAGAAATCATTCAAGTAATTATTAATTTTGACTCTACTCTTTACAAAAATGATTTTTTTTTCAATCATATCGACATATTTGAGACCAGAGTTCAAGTTTTAATGTCGCTGTTTATTAAAGATAAAACATTATTCAACGATTTTATTGGCGTATACGCCATTTTTACACGATCATGTGATAAGACTATCATCACGTGATTTGTGTGAAGGCAGTGGTTACTGGTCGTAGCGTAACCGGTGCCCGGAGTTTGACGAGTGCCATGAAGCAGATTAATTGTGATTCAAGAACTTTTCTGTACGAAATCTGCTGTGGTCATAGTATTATTATTTGTTTGGGTCGTCAGACCAAACAAATAATGGTAGCGAAATTTCAGACTCTAATGCTGTTAATTGCAAATGCCGAAAGTAATCCGCTTTTTTGAAGCGGTTACTTCCCTTTATATGCAACACTAAGGCCGAAAAAATCAGGGGAGATCACTGCGTAAATATGGTCACATGACAGGCGCATTGATTTTCAAGCAAAATAATTCCCGAATGCTCGAAGATTTCTAATATTGTTTTATCATTTATAAATATACATGCTTATAGTAAGCGCCATGATTATTTACACAAGTGTTAACCAACAGTTAGCGTCGTTACAAACCCTAATTTAGAATAATATGGTTTTCTTCAGACCGTTAACACATAAATTCACCGTGGCGGATGGGTTTGCGCGCTCGCTTAGGAAGCGAGAGGTCTGGAGTTCAAATCCCAGTTAAGGTAACTCATTTTTTTGTCAAATTGTTTAAGTCAAATAAACATTGGATTGAATATCAGTGTTGCAATTAGTCTTATAGCCAATCTTCTTCAATTTAAACGCTGGAAAGCATTGGTGGCACTTTACAAAAACAAATTCTTTTATAATCTCACAACCTTCACCTTTCTGACATTCTGAGACCCAAACAAATTCAGCGCCTTCTGTGCTTTGATTTTTACAATAGGTTTGCTCTTAAATTTGGTTTGCTGATCATGATCTTGCAACTACATAATTAGGTAAAGAAGCAGACGCTTGTGTTTGTTAAGTCTATTATGTTTTGTTTAGGGGTGAGTTGTCATACGCAAAATTACAATTTATATGCATTTATTATTTTCCAACAATGATTTTTATTATTTTAAATACTTCTAAGATTGTTTTATAAAATCTATTTGTACATTTGTACATACAATTGTTGTATGTCCGATAAACGGCATAATTTTAATGAAAATTAAATAAGTGCACACCTTAATGTGTATTGATCACGTGATGGTTTCAGCCAATGACAAAACATCAACATATATATGCAGCCGTGCAAAGAAAAAAATTGCAATAAGTAAATAATAATCTTTATTTAGGAAACAAACTTTGAATTGCAAGTATCAATTTCATGTTATATTTTCGGCAGAAGAAACTATCCGAGGAGGGCCAGGCATTTTCGTATCGTAAGATGGCTGCCGTTACAGTATCACGTGATTATCCCAAGCACCATCGCGACTTAACGCGGGAATTATAAATATAGCTAACCTGGGCGCGTCGTATAGGATAGGAAATACCTTTTTTATTTAATTTTACCCATGAAATTTGGTGCTATATTAGTCAAATATATTTCATATTTGTAAAAAATAAATATGAAATATAAATATGAAAGTGGGCGGAGTCAAAACTCATATTTATTTTAGGGGACTTCTTTCGCCATTTTGATTACAAAATCTGATAAATAAATGACAACTTGTTGTTGAATATTGATTTGAAAACTATCTAGAATGATAGAAAATGGTCTAACTAAGAAAATAAATCCGAACACCTATATCTTTCATTCAGTCATTAACGCTGTACAGACGTTTAAAAAGTTGTTTACGTGACATCACAATGTAGCGCTAAATATCGCGTGCAAAACAAGACAATAATTATATTACTGCGCGCTGTACAGTTGCAATTGCGTAGCAGGCAAGGGGGTTCGTAACCATTTTTCTTTGATAATGAAATTAAATAAAAAGGTTATTTTTTCGTTTTTCGTGAAATATGGTATACATGTATATATTCACTCAAATTGATAAAATGCCACATATTTTCACTCGCCGTCCCGGCTTGTGAAAATATGTGGCATTTTACCATGTTTCGTGAAAATATATCCATATTTCACTCAAACGAAAAAATATCCTCTTAATATCTATTTGTAATAAATATTTACAAACCGTATCTTTTGGTTTTTATTGGATCAATCGATTACAAATAATGATGGGGTTTTTTTTGTAAATAAATAATAATTTCTCAAATCTGTGAATATGATTTTCAATGAAATCCTATACCTTTAATATCTTTGAATGGTTTTTAATGCTGTGAAAGATAAAAAAGATGTGTTAGGTATGTTTTCAATAAACTGGTGACCAGGTTTACGAGTTCAGAAAACAAAGAAATACACGGGGAAAACGGGTTTTATTGCCGTTTTTATAGCCACGAATTATCTTGCATGACAAACATTTTCTTGGAAATTTGTTAATGTTTGATGAAGTTTGAATTATAATGTCTCAGAAACCATATGCGCTCTTTTATTACTTTTAATCAGATTTACTTTAAAAATAGGTGCATTCACTTACTTACAAGGCTGCTCGTTTCGACCATTAAATTGCACAATTTTGTGTTACTTTTGCAGAATTCATGCGTAGTTTTACACATTCAAGCATTAGTCAATACCTTGGAAAAAAAGTAATTACTTTATATATCTAGATCAGTTTTATAACTACTTCAAATTATAAATAATACGTTACACGAATTATTATTAAGAAGGTTTCTAAGAGGGTACTGCATAAAGAAAAGACGAAAACACTCCGACAATTTTAAACTTTTAACTTGTTATCGCGAAGCGTTAGTAAAGAGTGGAAACACGGAAACATGTCGTCCATTTTAAAAAAGATGTTATTGCGCAGCGCTAGCAAAGGTTTGAATGGACTAAAAGATGTAAAACATTTTAAAATGGCGGCTTGTTGTTGCGCAGCGCTCATATAGGGCGGAAGGACAAAAACGCGTCGACAATTTTTTAAATGGCTAGTTGTTGCGCAGCGCTAGCATTTATATAAAAGAAACACGCCAACCATTCTTAAATGGCTTGTTGTCAGGCGGCGCTATCAAAGGATTCAAAAATGAAAATGTATTTAATATCTTTAATTGGCTTGTTGTTACGCAGCACCAGCGAAAAGCGAAATACAACACAATGTCTTAAAATGCAATAGACCGTTTTACGTAAGGTGACATTAATCGCCATTCACAATCACAGTTCGACAATCAATTTCATAATCACCGTTTCGATGTTGTCTTTCAATTTGGTGCTTATGTTTTATTTTTGCACGCTGTAACGTCTGCATGTCGAAAACACAAACAATATGTATTTCCTTTTTAGTTTTGCCAAACTCTACATTGTGGATTGTGGAAAAAAGGTTAGTTACCAGTGTTTATAACGACTGTCAACAAACAACGGGCATTAGGCGGCGACTATTATGTTCCCCCTCTCAGCGTTTAGTGCTTAGGTCAAAAATATATTATTTTTCCTGTCTCCCAACGCAGTTTTACATTTGTTCTTTATTAGTTAACAGATACAACATGTAGCTAAAATAGCTCATTTAGGCGGATAATAATAATATGTTTATAATCGGAACATTCCCTTACAATACATGATTCTAAGTTTAGACTTTTTTAATCAATCGTATTTGCTGTTCTTGGAGAACATTTATGAACTTTGTAACTATAATTCCGCTTCATCCGTACCTTAATTACTATCATTCTTATTAGCAATACAACGACAACACACTGTTCACACAATCTTAAATGCAATCGATACTTAAAAATGGCATAAAATACCAATGACTTAATTAACTATATTATATCATTCAACAATTAATAGAGACTAATTACCTTTAAAAAAATCACGGAATGTTCATTATGTGCTCTTTCATACGGAGTCCCTACAGTAACATTTTGTTTTGTTTGTTTGTTTAATTTTACGCCTTTTCCCGTCAGTATTTCAGTCATATAGGCGGGTAGTTTCCTTACCATCGTTCCTGGAGAGTTACACCAGTACTAGACTACCTTCCTCCGCGCTAAACTACCAAAGCATCTTCCGGGGATCGAACCCATGCCAGAGAGTTAACTGGATTAGAAGTCATCGACTCTAACCCCTCGACCACGGAGGCGGTGACATAAAACATACCTTTTTGTTGCACCATGTACCTTATTTTGTCTATACAAACGTGTATTAGTTTTGTCTTGTTGAATAGATGCATAGCATAAAAGAAGGGGTTATAAAGTACTTCACAATTATGCAGTACACAATATATAACACTTTTCTTCCGGTCATTCTAATATTATGCTTGTTATCCATGACTCTTCCTACGAATTTCTGACGAAAAGCCTTAAGACATACTTAACAGATTTCGTATTAGTTTGTTTTATATACACGAATTTATTAACATGTATATTCTTAGCTATAAAGATTTTTGACAGGTTATATCGTCCTATATAAACGTTTATATTTCAAACAAGCGTTATATACGTTCATATGATATGTCAAGAATCATTATAACGAATTTATAATACATTAAACTTCCTTTTTTAAAGGAAAAAAACCCTGTTTTTGACAGGTAATATTGTCCTATATAAACGGTTATATTTCAAACAACCGTTTTATATACGTCCAAATGATATGTCAAGAATCATTAGAACGAATTTATAATACATCAAACTTCCTTTTTAGAGCAAAATAAAGAATTTTCCTCATAAAAATAACAGCAGCAGTGTATATAAAATATATAAACGTCACGATTATCCAGTGAAAAGCCCTGTTTCAAACGTGCAGTGTTATAAAGGACAGTATATTTATTCATGAACAGGGCGGAATTAATCTGGGATTTATTGGGGTTTTACTTTATTCTAACACTGCTATTTCACTCAAATGCAATAATTTTAGTTTGCCATGGCAACACTGACACCAAATCAAATTATAAAGAAAGAGTTAGTTTTGGTACATATCTATTGTAAGTTGAAAAATTGTATTTCGTTCTATTGTAACGAACTTTAACGTTCATGTCATTTCATTTTTGTTTGAGTTTTTATCAATTTTAGATCGTATAAATTTGCTATAAGGGGTCCTTTTCAAAGTGATCTAATTTATTCCACTAAAATTAAAGAGCCATCGAGAGACAGCGTGTAAATGTTTGAGAAACTAATATATTCTTGTATGCGATCGACGTTTTCTGTCATTTATATAATTTGCGTATACCTTATTAAAAACGTCAAAATGTCATATAAAGATTTCTTAAATATAATCTTTGCAAAAGCGTTAAGGGAATTTAATTGCCTTACATATAATTTTTCAAAACTGAAAACATTCCCTTAAATGGAATAAAAACAAACAATCTGCAATTCCTAAAATGAAAGCATTGTTAAACACCTGCATATATTGAAAATAATATAATAATATATAATCATCAGCTATAACGTATATGTTAGTGATATTTATCGGAAATGAAGGGATAGACGTGACTAAATTAGATAGTGTTTGATGTCTGCCGCTCGGTCTTTACCTTTTGGTTTCTCCAATAATCACAATGACTAGTCGATAATGTCATAACATAGGTTGTTCAGGTGTTTACATATTTGAAACATTAATTGAATAAATTTGACTTATCAAACTGAGCCTGCAACATTTTCAATTTTGTTGTTTTGGACTTTCTTTAGGGATTCTTATTTTCTCTATTTTATCGCCACATCAGCGTTGTTTGTGCCGTGTGTGTGTGGGTGGGTGGGGGGCTGTAAAAAGTCTACCATATATTCTATCAGGGATGTTATATTTCCGATCCTTAAAGATCGTTCAGCACGACATTATTGTTGTGTATGTGGAACATTTAATTTTCAAAATTTGGCATTTTCTAGTTGGGTGGTTCCAATATTCCTACTTGAATAATGTTTAATCACACTCAGGATATGTTGCTTGCTTTTTAACTTTGTCTTTTGACGACATATCTGCGATATGCAGGCTTCAAAACCTCTGATCCCCTTTCAAAATTCCATTTTATTTAGTTCCGCCCATTGTTTTCTCGTTTAGGGCAAACACATTTCTTTATTTGGGGACCATACGCCGCTTTTCATGGAATGGCACTAACGTGTCACATTGAAGGTTCCATGATAACCCCCGTATGAACACATCTGCGGATGTTTCTTAATTCACAATTTCACCACTTTCATGTTTAAACGTTGAATTCTGTTTAAGCCGGTGCTAAGGGCGTGGACGGAAGTTTGCATTTGACAGTACCGTCCATATACAGGCTCAATTAAACCTAACCTGCAAGATTTTCAATTTTGTCGTTTTGGACTTTCTTTAGGGATTCTTATTTTCTCTATTCTTTAAAGTCGGGCAAACATGAGTTTTGTGACATTTAAATAATGGTTCTAGCAGATGTTAGATGCTTGTTATTTGAAGAAAGAAGCACTAAATCTGAAATAAAATCTCATAAAAACTATCAAAATGTTAACAAAGTACCGGTAGTATTTTTAATGCAATACAAAAATACTTAATCACTATAAATGTACTAATTGTCCAAAAAGCAACAGAAATAAGGTGGTTTAAGTAAATGGCGAATGAAAATATGAGATTTTTTTATTTTATTCTTATTTATTTTTTATTTAAATAAAGATAAAACATTTTGGCGTATAACAGGCCTTTAAAATACAGATAATAATCAAAATGTTTGATCATTAACAGTAATTTTATTATCGAAATTGATTTATGGAATGCCTTAAAGATCTTGTAACTCAATTTTTTCATGGTTTTATTTCATATATATGATGCTCAAATTAAGATTTGTCAATATTGTAAGTTCCAATAAGCATTATTTATAAAGATATCGAATTTAACATTGCATGTAAATTAAGGGAGGTAATTAGAAATTTATTTTCTATAAATTCTAAGTAAGAAATGAATGCATATAATTTATTGATTAAATATTATGTGCACAAATATTTGCAGTACACATTTTGCGTATTCTTCTATGTTTGAAAATTGTTTTGTTTGCATAATTATATACATATATAATGTTTTGCAAGAGTGGTACACACACAATAATAATATAAATCACACATACATGATCTTTAAAATTATTTTGTTATTCTTACGTATCATGTTGGTTACAGAATACAAATGATTACATACATAACCTTCATTTGCATATCCTTATTTTTTTCTATGAAAGTTGTTAATTCTTTATATTTCATGTAAATTCCCGAGATGATTTTGGAAAAACGTGTATATGCGGATATCGTACAGGATGTCATGTGTGATGTTGTTGTGAAATATTTTTTTTACGAAAGAATTAAACAACAGGGTCGTTAAAGTTAAATATTTATATTTCATGTTAATGACCTTATTGTTGATTTAAGAAAACTAATATATGCGAATATGGAACAGGATGTCATTTGTCATTGTTTTATGTATTTTAACGAATTAATTATACAAGGTCGTTAAACCGAACTATATATAAAAAGAAACGTTTTGAGCGAATATCTTCATTTATCGTACGGACGTAGTTTATATATACATTTAAAGTAAAACGTAATTTAAATAACTTACTTCACCTCATAGTTCTAATTATATTTGTATACACATACTTAAAACGGATTTAAAACAGCTTAGCATTATTGGTGGTAAAAAAAGCACGTAATGATGATGATCCATTTGATTTATTTCCTGGTGTGCGTGTTCTCCGCATCCGGACTTTTCTGTGATAAGCCATGTGACGTATGTCCGGAATATACTGAATATACTAACGAGTAAGTTCTGGAATATATTATATAAACAATTTTATTGTATTTGATCAAAAATACTTAATTACAAATAGTTTACACCGAAAATTGAAATATATCATCGTTTGTATTTAAACCTTGATGTTTAAGACACTTAGTTTAATCACGGATTTAAATTACAATTTAATCCGTGGTTTAATTCAGAAAAATACGATTTTAAAATGAATGTATGAACATCTGTTGAGTATTATGTAAAGCAGACAATTTTAACTAATATTTTTGACAAAATTAGTACCTGTATTATCCTTTTTATTTTGAAGGCTTCCCAAATCAGACAATGTCATAACAACTGTTAATGTTCCAGCAGAATGCACCAATGGAATTTTCAACTGGCATTATCCCAAAGGACACACCATGCTACATTTTCAAAATGTGAAAGAGGTATTAAAATAATTTAAATATTTTATGTTAGACAATATATATAAAAGAAATAAATAATTTGTTCTCATTTTTAATAAATGAATCTTATACCTATAATTGATAGTATGACTTTATGAATTTGTATTATTACTAAGTATACATTTTTTATTTTCTCGGATATAATCTGTCATTTTCACTCCTCTAGCTGAGAAGAACTATCTGTATAAGAGACAGTCTAGGTGGCGATTTCTTCAATATAACGGAAAAGGCTACGAATGAACGCCTGGGGCCATTTGATGATAGTAAGTATATTTTAAAAAGAAAGCAAATTATGCATGTACATTTTCGCGATAGCCTTAAATGTTGTATTATGCATGTAAAATTGTCAAAATATTTGTAAATGAGATGTGTAAATAATATATCACTATGACAAACAGGATCAAGTCTGTCACAAATTTTATCATAAGGAGTACAACATGAACTGTTGTTAGTGTTCACTTCACTGTTGGTTTGTCCTCTGCAAGAACACATTATTTATAAGCTACACCTCATTCTGAATCACGTAGACGATTTCATGAATGATCCTTTGATGATTGCTATGCTATTTAATATCTTAAAGAAGCGTTTGTCAAAAATAGATCAAATTTTGTTTGTTATAGGGCAAAATCTTAATGGAATAATTGTCATTGTTTTATGATGTTTTGTGTTTCCATATATTGTTTAGAAGGCCAAATTGAAAATTAAGATATGTTATTTGTTTTCTACGATGGTATATCTGCATATGTTACCTTCCTTCAATAAAGAAATTATTATTATTATTAAAGGTAAAATATTAATGTTACTCGTTTACATTTCTAAAAGATATGTTCAGGATTTAAACCTAAATTTTCGCTGCGAAATGTCTTCTTAATCATTATACACGTTTTTCAACAAATTGACTATCACTACCTTTTTTTACAGAAATATCAGCCTGTTTTAACGCAACATTCGCACGAGACATTGTTCTTCAAGTGACCGCACATCCAGATCATGTTTACTTTGGAGGGTTTGAATACAGAATATACAGATAAAATGTGTAGAATTTCGAAATAAAATTTGAAAATAACCTATAGTTTTTATGTCTTTGCCACAAAAATGATTTACAACTTGGCCTTAGTTTTCTTTTCTTTTTTTGAATCAACATGGCACGTTGTATGGGGTTTCCAAGATAAGTTCTTTATTTCATTCAACGCCGTTTTTTGTGTGCACCGTTATATGTCTCCGCCGCTAAATATCGCACTTGCAAAATCTTCTGCCGCTAAATGTCGCACGATTTTCCCTTACCGTTAAATGTCGCAACACTACCATTTAATGTCACAAGATGTATATTCATGATAAAATTAAGTTAATATGTGGTATTAAATTACAATAAACATTATACATATCTACATAAAGGACTGTCGGATTAATCTACAGTCTCATAATGAAAAATGCTTTTTGAAGTGGATTGGACTACAATTAGTACATTTACAGGAAAAATTTCAAATATTGATAATAAAACATATCATTTGGATACTCTTACACATATTTCTTAAACCAAAAATGTTTATCTAGTTCTGCATTATCTAATATGGCGTTTATATGATGAATTATTAATTTTTTATTTATGAGCATTTTATTGTCAACATCCACATATGATTTTTTCATGGTTTGTTATCACACATGATATTTAATACTTTATTTATGGTATTGCATAAAGCAGTACACTTTATATGTCCTTTTTGTTTGCAATTAAAATATAAAAAACATTGATTTAAGTATAGTATGCTACTTCACTACCAGTAAGGTATGTTATATAATACTCATCTTTATCTTTAAGTATAATTGTTTTCGTACATTTGGAAATTTATAGACTAGTGTCCATCTACTTGTCCCTCACCGCTGTGGGTTAGAATTCCGCCAGGGACTTCGGACTCTTTTATGTGAGGAAGCTATCCAGCTAGCTTATGGACCGTCGATGATCCTTCTCAAGTTTACAGGCAACCAGAGGATTTCCTCCACCAGTTAAGCTGGGAAATCGCTATATGATCTTAATGAGTTGGTGTGACGTTTTAATGTCAAAAAACTAATTAGGACTTTGCATGTCCAATTTAGAAGATTTTAAAAACTATTAGGAGTAATAAAATTCTTAGTTGTTCGTCTGTATAAAAACATTTAGAAGGTACAAAGTTCAAATTAGGTTTATATTTTACATTTAGACTTTTGAATCGCCTCCTAATTTTATTTCCTATCTCCAAATGATAGATTTATTTTTCCTAATTAGGCCTTTGAGCGTCTTATTAAGAGTTACACGGTTGTTATTGGGATTATTTCTCCTAATTATAAGTAAGAATTCCTTATTGGTTGTTACTTGGAGTAACATATTGTGAAAAGGTTTTTTTTATCTCTCCTATTTAGGAGAATCACAGTTCTAACCATATTAGGTTTTAAAAAAATCTACTAGAAGCAACAAAGTCCTAATTATTAGGCTTTTAAATGAGTTATATTTTTTCCGTACCAAAACACTTATTAGATATTTTCGACCATGCGACCACATACATTCATCAAGGACATTTTGTAAGGAAAGTGACCGTGCGACCATATACATGCATCACAGGTTTCCCTGTCTCTTACGAGAGAGGGACAAAGAGTTGTCCACCGATTTAATAAAGGACAGACTTAATTAATATGCCATTTCCATATTGTTATTGATAAGGTGGCTGGTTTTCTCACACATATTTCTTGAATAGGTTTATATACCACAATAGTTATGCAAACTAATCGGGTTATCAGTTTACGTCCTTTTAAGTCGGCTATGAAATTTTGAAATGACCACATATAATTTCTTAGATAATTTTGAGTTTACAGTTTTTTCAACCTTTCATTCTATGAATATTACAGAAAAAGTTATTTTTTGCAAAACATGAACGTTTTAAAAACATTTTGTATGCATTAAATATGGGAGATAATATTGCAAATAGTAACCTGGGGGCATTTTTGCCAAAGAATGTATTTAATTTCTATATCCGTCTTATTCTACTTGTAATATAATAGGTAAAATGATGGACTGCATAGAAGAAAATATAAAACTTGAGCAACCGACAATTCTGGCACTGGAAATACTGTTCATATTTGCAAGCCCTGAACTTTTCAAGCTTCCATTTTTAGACCTGTCTATCATTTTGGGAATATCCAGACAAATATTTCTAAAGTTAGTCAACCGTTAGTATAGATAGGTTCAGTCTGCTTCCGGACATGTATCTCTATACCGGTATTATCATTTCGGTTCCATCAGTGTAAAGTGCAGTCTGGTTAACAGTGGTCATATTTACAAAGTTGCTTTAACTGTAGAATATGTCTTTAAATTTTCATTTAATTTATTTTCTCAGGATGGAAAAGTTATCAATGCGATAGGTGCATTGAAGAATATTGGCAAGTTTCAAGCATTTTCCGTTATCAAGAAACGACATACTGGATTGATATTTTGCATACGTGACCTAATGTAATGTTGCAAATTTTTAAAACAATAATCTGATTGTGGCAAAATAATCATACATATAGTAATATACCTTTAATACCGATAAACCACAGGTAAACATGCTTGTAGGTGAAATACCGACACAAAATATTTTTTTTAAAAATCCGATCTAAGATTAAATTTTCATTGAATCTTTCTAGAATAAATAGATCCATCTTCTCAAGCTGATTCCGTAGCTGGAATCCGCGACATCTGGGTTGCTAAATGAAAAACAAATGTGTTTAACACCAAGGGGCTTTTTGGCATAAATTGTGGTCGTCTAATTATAATATCGACTAAGATGACTTTAATTTCAAAAAATTATTTTGTACATCACAACAAATCCTTTTCTATGTGATAGAAAGCTATAGTCCCCAGATCACATACATGAGGTTAACAATGACATAACATGTACCAGTTGTTTAACATGAATTTAGATATTGCGACATTTAACGGTATTGTTGTGGCATTTAAACGTAAGGGAAAATTGTGCGACATTCAACGGCATCTTTGCGACATTTTACGGCAACATATTTGAGACATTCAGCGGCGGTTGTAACATTTAGCGGCAATAGTACGAAATCTAGCGGAAAGTGCGACATTTAGCGTATCGGTGCCACTCTGATAATGTATTCTTGCGTTCGGATGCTTATATATTATTCTTGCATTCGGAGGCTTAAAAATGATTTTTGCGTCCGGTGGCAGATAAAGTATTCTTGCGTTCGGAGGCTGATGATCGAAGGTAGATGTCAAGTGTTCTTTAATATGAACTTCAGACAATTGTTCAAATTAATTGTTTTATATGAACGACAGTCACATTTTTATCACTTTAACAACTAAAAGCGTTAGATTATTATAGACTATATAGTATATTTTCTCCAGATTTGGCTAACCTCACGAAGTTAAATATTTATAACATGAAAGCATAATTAGGACTTTTCACATATTCCTGATAATTCTGTGATATTTAGGTCTTAAAGTAGCAGGTTAGAAAATTTCATAACCATTTTAAATTAGACGATGTTTTTGCAAAATATCTGTATTCACATATTCAGCCATCAATTCTCTAATGCGCTAGCAATGTGATATTTATTCAAACTACAAGTTCAAGGAAAATACCTGCTAAGATGTTTCAAGAATGTCACTCTGTAATTAGTGAACCTAGGTGCAATATCAAAGATAATAATCCATAGAAATACCTTCAGAAAAGGAAACCACCAGCAACAACTGCAGAGATTATTTCCTTTTGCATCCCGATTGTAAATGGTGTACATATACCTAATAACACATGCTGATGTCAACATTATGTTATAATTTGGGAAGAGAGTGTGAACATAGATTCTTCAATTCCAATAAGTTTTCTATAAACTATTTTAGGATTATAAACTATTCAGTATGTTTAGGCTCTTTCTATTTGAGCTGTTTTTATAATTAACCGATATACTGGTACAATACAATAGTATTATTACAAAACTCAATACAATACATTACAAGTAAAATGGTTTCCTGCGGGGAACATTTTTAATGATATAAGATATTTCATTTAACTATTTTCAACATTGTTTGGTGGGACAACATAAAGTCGATCAATATAGAAGAAGGTCTTTGGAAACTGGTGACCGTTGATGACCGGAGAAGGTCGAACATAAAACAATTATTTCTTTTTAAGAAAATGATTAAATAGGCCTACCATTTTATGAATAATTCCGAGCAAAAAATAAATAAGAAATAAAGTAAACACACAAGTTAACGCAGAAAATATCTTTATTTATTATGGCAGATGCCACTACGATCGGATATTTTAATTTTGTAGATTTTCAGTGTAAACAATTTATTGTCTGTAAAATTTGAGATACAAATTAAAGAAATATTGATAATTTTCAAACACATCATTCAAGTTTTTCCACCTTAAACGGTAAAATATTTATAGAAAATTAGAAATATCACGTAATTGTTTTTGTTCTTAATTAGATGTAATTCTGCCTAATTCCATAGAGGTAAATCCGTAACGTACCGGCAAATGGTATTTAGCCAGGTTTTCGAAAGGGTCAATTAACCAATCATGTACGGTTTACAGATCACATGCTCCTCCATGTACCGATAACTGGTCACGTGCTCCTCCATGACGCGTACCAATACCCTGCGGTCTCCAGACCGCAGGGAACAATACAATGCAATCCACATTGGTAGTGTTGAGAATGATTGCTGACGGCATCCATTTTTTGCGTATCAAATTGAAGTTAATGAATTGAAATTATTAGCACCAGTCAACAAATATTGTTACGCAAATGCTCCGCTTTAAAATACGACTTAACTTAAACGAAAAATAAACATGGATAAAAGAAAAAATCTGAAAATATTATTTACGCTTTAATTATTTATTATATATTTAACACTACGAATAAGGGTTCATTCCGTTTTTGTTCTTTAAAACTGTATGCATTGATTATTGTTTTCTGAAAAGTGTTTTACTTTTTCATGTAACAGTAAACACAATATCACCAAACATTATTATATGACCGAGTAAACCGTGTACCGATATTTTGCTGCTTAATTAACTTCGGAACACC